AGTGAGCTCCCGTTTCTTGTCCCAACTTCTGCCATCCTAGCAGTTCGAAAGCACATAAAAATGCAAGTAGAAAAATAGGAACCACCTTTGGTGGGAAGGTAACAGCATTCCGTGCGCCTTCACCATCTAGTCATGCCAGCCACATGACCACAGAGATGTCTTTGGACAATGCTGGCTCTTCGGCTTTGAAACGGAGATGAGCACCGCCCCCTAGAGTCGAGAAGGACTAGCACATATGTGCGAAGGGAACCTTTACCTTTATGCAAGGAAAAAAAGATGGTTTCTAAACCTTTGATTATGATTGTTAGCTTGACAGTTTACACACACACACACACACACACCCTGCTAGCCTGATTGACTGGTTTACATGAGTGGAGAAGGGCACAGTGATGAAGGAGGTGTTACATGCACCACCCTAGGGTTATCCAGAACTGTCTGCATTGCTGCACGTAGAGTTCACTGCAGTAATCCAAACAAGATGTGACCAGGGAACAAGTGATTGAGAGCTCATAAACCCATATGCAGAAGGAGCCTGCATAAGAGGTAACCTACACTTTGCATTGTGGGCAGAACTCTGCTTTAATCCTGGTGCCCAACCTGAAATGCTCACAGAGGGAAAGGACAGTCCTGATGCAACTTAAAGTGATTAATAGCAACTGGGCAGATGCCATGTCCAGACTATACCACCAACCTCATCATTGACTAAGCCAGTAGATCTTAAAACCGTTTGACCCAATTACCTCTTTTCCCCCAGTCTCAATGCACACACAAAAATCCAGGCTCTGTTGTTTTATGCGATTAGCTCAGCAGTGACAGTTCCCAACTGGTTCCTTGACTCACAAATGAGCAATTACTGTACAGATTGCTCCCTTACTACAGAATATGCCCCAAAGTAGCTTCAGATTAACCTTTCAGGTGCCGGAGACCAAGTGGGAATTGTGGGGTTGAAATCCAAAGGATCTGGATAGCACCAGCTTAAGGAAGGCCACCATAAAAGATATGTGCACATTTGGAGGTCTGTTCATAGGATCTATAAAGATAAATGCTGGAAGCAAAGCCAATGGGGAAGCCAGCAGGAAAGACTGCAAGTTGCTTCAGTAAGTCACCCTTGCTGTTTCAAGCTCCCATATTCCATAGCAACCCCCACCTGAACACATTCCATAGTGCACACACCTACCCTCCATACCCTTCCATGGCTTCCATTGACCCACTCAACGCCCTCCCACCAACCCACTCCCTAGTGGCCGTCTACAGCAGCCCCCCTCAATACATCCCCATATCCCCTGCACTCCTTTACTTTGGGACTCCTGCCTCTTCCCATTGAAATACTTCGCTGACGCTCATCAATGTAGTCACATTAGATTTTGCTTTACAGCCTAAGCTCTTAACAATAGTAATCCTGATCTCAATTGCCTTAAGCTGCATTCTTCTGTGATGTACTTAAAAGAGAACCTCATAGAATTGACTGAGATTACTGCATCTCGAAACAGGCACTGAAAATGAGAAAAAAATTAGAATGGAACACGGCTCCCTGTTCCACTGTTCACTTTTTCATTGCTTCAACAATATATATATATACATATACATATATATATATATATATACATATACATATACATATACATATACATATACATATACATATACA